ATATTGAAAGGATCTATCCAACAGGAAGATATAACCTTGATAAACATATATACACCCAATATAGGAGCACCAAAATATATTAAAAATATTCTGGAGGACTTCAAAAGAGAAATTGATAGCAATACAATCATAGCAAGGGACTTCAACACCCTGCTAACATCACTGGATAGATCCTCTAGACAAAAAATTAGCAAGGAAACAGAGACGCTAAATGAAGGACTAGACCAAATGGATTTAATAGATATCTACAGAGAATTACACCCCAAAACTACAGAATTCACATTCTTCTCAAGTGCACATGGGACATTCTCAAAGATAGACCACATGTTAGGGCACAAAGTAAGTCTCTACAACTTCAAGAAGATTGAAATCATATCAAGCATCTTCTCAGACCACAATGGCATGAAACTAGAAATCAATTGCAACAAGAACATGCAAAGACATTTCAACACATGGAGGCTAAATAGCATGTTATTAAACAATGAATGGGTCACCGAGGAGATCAAGGAAGAAATTAAAAACTTCCTGGAAACCAATGAAAAGGAACACACAACAACACAAAATCTATGGGATGCAGCGAAAGCAGTTCTGAGAGGGAAGTTCATAGCACTACAGGCCTACCTCAAGAAAGTAGAAAAGTTTCTAATTGACTATCTAATCTCACAGCTTGAAGAATTAGAAAGCAAACAAAAAGAAAACCCCAGAGCAAGTAGAAGGAAGAAAATAGTAAAGACCAGAGCAGAAATAAATGACATAGAGAGGAAAAAAAAAACAGTTCAAAGGACCAATGAAACAAAGAGATGGTTTTTTAAAAAGATAAACAAGATTGATGGACCCTTAGCTAGACTCACCAAGAAACAAAGAGAGAGAACCCAAATGCACAAAATCAAAAATGAAAGAGGAGAAGTAACAACTGACACCACAGAAATACAAAAGATCATTAACAACTACTATGAACAACTATATGGCAACAAATTCGACAATCTAAGAGAAATGGACAAATTTCTGGAGACACAGTCTCCCAAAACTGGATCGAGAAGAGATAGAAAACTTGAACAGACCAATAACAACTAAGGAAATTAAAGAGGTAATCAAGACTCTCCCGGCAAACCAAAGCCCAGGCCCAGATGGCTTCACGGGGGAGTTTTACCAAACATTCGAAAAAGAACTAACCCCATTCTCCACAAACTATTTCAAAAAATTCAAGAAGAAGTAAGATTTTCAAACTCGTTTTATGAGGCCAGCATAATTCTAATTCCAAAACCAGAAAAAGACACCACAAAGAAAGAAAACTACAGGCCAATATCCCTGATGAACATAGACGCCAAAATTCTGAACAAAATACTAGCAATTCGATTCCAGCAATACATCAAAAAAATTATCCACCATGACCAAGTGGGATTCATCCCAGGGATGCAAGGCTGATACAATATTTTCGAAAAAATATATGTGATACACCACATAAACAAAATGAAGAATAAAAACCACATCATCATATCAATAGACGCTGAAAAAGCATTTGACAAAATACAGCATCCATGTCTGATTAGAAAAAAAAACGCTCAGCAACGTGGGAATAGAGGGATCATATCTCGATATAATAAAGGTCATATATGAAAGACCTACAGCCAACATCATACTCAGTGGACAGAAACTAAAAACATTTCCCTTAAGAACAGGAACAATACAGGGATGTCCACTTTTGCCACTCTTGTTTAATATTGTACTGGAAGTCTTAGCCACAGCAATCAAACATGAAGGAAAAATAAAAGGGATCCAAATTGGAAAGGAGGAAGTGAAACTGTCATTATTTGCAGATGACATGATATTATACATAGAAAATCCTAAACACTCCATCAAAAATCTACTAGACTTAATAAATGAATTTGGCAAAGTAGCAGGATACAAAATTAACATCAAGAAATCGACGGCATTCTTATACACCAATGATGAACTCACAGAAAGAGAAACTGAAAAACAATCCCATTTACCATCGTGGCAAAAAAATTACGATACCTAGGAATAAACTTAACCAAAGAAGTAAAGAGCCTATTTGCAGAAAACTACTGGACATTGAAAAAAGAAATAGAGGAACATATAAAAAAGCGGAAGCACATACCCTGTTCATGGATTGGGAGAATTAACATCATTAAAATGTCCATATTACCCAAAGCAATCTATAGATTCAGTGCAATCCCCATCAAAACACCAATGACATATTTCACAGAACTAGAACAAATACTTTAAAAGTTCATATGGAACCAAAAAAGACCTCGAATATCCACAGCAATTTTGAAAAAGAAGGACAAAGTAGGTGGGATCACAATACCAGATATCAGGTTATACTACAAAATGACTGTAATCAAAACAGCCTGGTACTGGCACAAGAACAGGTATATAGACCAGTGGAACAGATCAGAGAACCCAGAAATGGACACAAGGCAATATGCTCAATTAATATTTGACAAAGGTGGCAAGAGCATACAGTGGAGTAAAGACAGCCTCTTTCATAAATGGTGTTGGGAAAATTGGACAGCTACTTGGAGAAAAATGAAACTAGACCATCAACTTACACCATACACAAAAATAAACTCAAAATGGATAAAAGACTTACATGTAACCCTTGAATCTATAAAAATTCTAGAAGAAAATGTAAGCAACAAAGTTTTGGACATCATATGCAGCAGAATTTTCACTGATACATCACATAAGGCAACAGAAACAAAGGAAAAAATGAACACATGGGACTCCATCAAACTGAAAAGCTTCTGCACAGCAAAAGAAACAACCATCAAACTGGAAAGGCAGCCCACTGTATGGGAGAGCATCATTGCCAATGATACATCAAATAAGGGGTTAATTTCCAAAATATATAGAGTACTCATATAACTCAACAAATGGAAGACAAAGAACCCAATTATAAAATGGGCAGAGGAGCTGAATAGACATATCTCCAAACAAAACATACCAATGGCCACGAGACATATGAAGAAATGCTCAACAGCAGTAATCATCAGAGAGATGCAAATTAAAACAACAATGAGGTATCACCTCACATCTGTCAGAATGGCCGCCATCAACAAATCATCAAACAAGTTTTGGTGAGGGTGTGGAGAAAAGGACACTGGTGGTGGGAATTCAGACTGGTGCAGCCACTATGGAAAACAATATGGTGTTACCTCAAAAAATTAAAAATTGAACTTCCATTTGACCCAGTGATCATGCTTCTAGGAATATATCCTAAGAAGCCTGAAACACCAATCAGAAAGAATATACATACCCCCATGTTTATAGCAGCACCATTTACAATAGCTAAGCTCTGGAAACAGCCCAAGTGTCCATCAGTAGACGAATGGATAAAAAAGCTGTGGTACATATACACAATGGAGTACTATGCATCTGTATGAAAGAAATATCTCTTATCCTTTGAGACGAAATGGAGGGACCTGGAAAGTATTATCCTAAGTGAAACAAGCCAAGCAGAAAAAGATGAATAACACATGATCTTACTTATATGTGGAATATAATGACTATAACAGTCTGAGGAATAGGGTAGACCCAGAAACACGGAAGTAGGGTACAGACTGACAACCCTCAGAAGAGGGGCTGTTGGGGGTCGGAAGAGATAAACCACAGAACTTATGTGCATGTATGCATTACCAATGGACGTGGACAACAGGGACGGAGTGGGGGGAATGGTGAGGAGGGTGTCAATGGGGTAAAATAGGAGAAACATCTGTAACAAAAACAAAATTTAAAAAAAAATAATAAAAATTTTTTTTTAAAAGTATATATTTGCGCCCTGACTGGTTTATCTCAGTGGTTAGAGCATCAGCCTGTGGTCCAGAGAGACCCGGGTTTGGTTCCCTTTAGGGGCATGTACCATGGTTGTGGTTTGTCCCCGGCCTTGGTTGGGTTGTGTGGGTGACAGCCACTCAATGTGTCCCTTTCATGTTGATGTTTCTCTCTCTCTCTCTTCCTCTCTCTCCCTCCTACTCCATCTGAAAAAAAAAAAAAAATGGAAAAATGTCCTTAGGTGAGAATAAAAAATATATATATATATGAAAGCTGATCACATTCTCCGTAATCTTACAGCTTTTCATTGAGTTTGAAATTTTTTCAAAATTAAAAGTTGAAAATAAACATCCCTATTCACTTTTCACCTAATATTTTAGTAGCCATTGGTTTTTGTTGCCTAGATTGTTCATTCATGAACGGTTGCAGAATGACCACTTTCTAATTCTAGCATTTTCTTCATAATAGATGAAGCTTCTATGGTTCTGTATAAAGAACTTTCCTTTATCACAACTTTTAGTAACCTTAAAATACTGTTCCTAAAGGAGGGCGATACATGCTTGATTCTTGTCCTTTTATGAATTTTCAGAATAATGACTTCCTATTCTGGTCACCTTCAATAGTAATCCCTTAGGGCTTTTTTAAGTACCATTACAGACTCATGATTTTGTTTTATATTTGATACATTTCAATTGACTGCAGTAATTACTCTTTGTTAAATTGTTCCATCCGAAGCCAGTGGGATCCCTTTTTGACACAACCCCATCAATCTGTGATAGGCTCCTTGCTTTCTGGTGTAAGATGTTCCAAGATCATCTTGAACATCTCCCGTTTTACGCTGGACTCAGCCAATTCCCAAATGAATCCTGGTTTCTTTCATAGGCAAATCATGTTTAGAAGCATTTTGGCACTAGAAGGGCTTGTTGCTCTTGAGTTGTTACTGACTCGAGGTACTTTTCTGTGGTTCAGTTTAGGGAAAAAGTTTAAAAACAAAAAGCCATAATAAGTGCATACTATATTCCCAATTCCTAATTGTTCTTGAGTAGGGAGATAAAAAGAGTGAACTGTGTGCTTTGTGTGTATGTATATGTGCATGTGTGTGTAATTACTCTGAAGCTAGCGTGAGGAAGTTGCACGTCTATACATGTTGACTATCTGTCTGTCAGGCTAAGACTCTCATGGCTTCTTTCTTTTTCGCCAGTTCTGCTTGCTCAGAACTCTGCCAGGTCAGCGGGGAAACAAAGAAGAGGAAGAATGGGTGCAGGATTGGTGACAAGTTGGTCACAGGTATGTGGGAAATTACTCTCTTTCCAAAACAACCTTACTGTTCTCAAAGGACATAACATCTTGCCCATGACCCACAGCTCACAGCCCTACTGGGCTGACCTCAGGCTTCCCCAGTTCTCTGGGTTTCTTAGAATGCGAGAGAAAACTCCATAGGAAAGGCTTCTATCACTGTTAACATTTGTTCTTTTTTTTTTTTCTAGATAGCCCTCCAGGTTGAGTATTAATTCCATATTCTGCAGGGTGCTATGAAGGAAAAGGGAGATCCTTCACTAGGAAAATCATCCCTTCCTTTTCCAAATATGTTTTCTCATCCCTTTGTACACTGAGTCTGTACTGGATCTGGAATAAGACTGGAAGCATCCTCAGAACATAGGTGTGGAAATATCAGGTCAACCCTGTGTTAGAAAAACTGCTCAAACCATGAGCCTGGATGAGATGATCCGGGGAGTGGGAGAGAAAGAGGAGAGCTGAGAGCTGAGTCTTGAGGCCTCCAGAGCGTGTCAGCTTCCTGTGCACTGAGTTTCCTCCCCCGTGCTGGCAGCCTCACCCACCGTTCTCCGGGTTCAGTGAATGAAGAATGGCTGTCTGAGCAAGAATGTGTGATGTTTTAGGACTTGGTGACCTTTGAGGAAGTGGCAGTGGACTTCTCCCAGGAGGAGTGGGTACTGCTGGACTCTGCTCAGAAAATCCTGTACAGAGATGTGATGATGGAGAACTTTAGGAACCTGGCCTCTGTGGGTAAGTTTGGCCTCATTTCTTCATTTCTTCCACTGAAAATAGTGGATCACATATCGTGTTCTAGGATCTGTGAAAAGAATAACAAAATGCAGTGAACACAAAATGGATGGTCCCAACCCTTGTGGGGCAGTCTCATGGCTTCCCGTGGAAATGGGCTGATTTCGTTTTCTTTATCATTAAAAGATTTAGCTAATATGCACTGCATATCTGAGCTTGGGCTTAGATTGCAAGGGTCAGCCCCATGTGGGACATGGAGTGCGGGTGTTTGTTTTGGGGCCCGTGAAAGATCTCTGATCTGACCTGTTTTGCTGCTCCTCGAGTTCCACTTGCCTGTCTACTACAGACCAGAGCACTGGAATCAGTTTTATGGAAAGATCTCTTGCCTCCTTCACAGTGCCCCAAAATCACATGTCTTTTGCCATGGTTAGGGTCTCACCTCTGCAAACACAGTTTGATCACTGAGGTGGAGCAGGAAGAACCGAGGACCAGGGAGAGAAGAATTTTCCAAGGCACCTGTTCAGGTGAGCCCCAGGCAGAAAGGAGTCATTGTGTGGAGCATCCATAGCTGGGGGGGGGGGGGGGTGCATTTGCAAATGTCAGTGTGGGGAAAGGAGGCCGAGGCCATTCTGTGAGCTTTCCCTCTTTCCATCTCACCATTCATTCCTGTCTTAACCTGGTCTCAGAGAATGACTTCTAATGCCTCGTTCGCTTTCACGTTCCCTTGAGTACCTTTTGTTCAGTTCTCCTTGTGTTGTTTTCCAGGTAATATCTTCTCATACTGTGTCAAACCTCCAGAATCCATTCTAAGTAGCATACCTCCCATTTCCATTGCTTGTTCTTATCACAAGTTTTAAAACAATTACTCTGGTCATTGGTTTCATTTTCTCTTTCACATTTTTCTTTCCATGTTTAGTATTATTATTTGAAAACAAATCGATAGGGTGCCTGCCTTCTTTTTTCTTTTATCCCTACTTTTTCTCCCAATAGTTATAAAAATTTTCCTTCTTCAGTTTCAGACAGGGCTACTCAACTTAAATCAAAACATGCAATTCCTATGCAGAATGTTCCTGAGGAAGAAACTTCCAATGGCATAAAAATGGTAAGATTCACTGGGGATCATTTCTGGTTTTTTCTAGTAGGAGAAGCCTGTGAATTTCAATAAATTAGAACAGCCGCAGCAACCACACAAAGAGAGAGTTGAGGCACGTGGCAGGAAGCTGTCTCAGGAAAGACTGTGAGTCCACAGAACTGAGAGACCTCTACCCTACCTCACCACGTGCTCCTCACAGTGAGCACCTTCACAGAGAATGCCGAAGAGCAAACATTTGCTTAAGCGTGATCTTGTTATTAAGTTTTTAATACGTAATTCATTTTTCCCTTATTATTACAAAAACTCTGTGTTTAGGATGCCTTTTGGTCTAAAGGAATACAATAGAGCCTTGGGAAGCATTCAACTTGAAAGAATTACTAGGGCAAAAATCATACATGTGCCCTACGACTGGTAAAAATGTCAGTCATGATAATGTACTTCCTACATGTGGCAGAATCCACATGGAAAAGAATTCTCGTAAGTGTAATGAAAGTAAGAAAGCCTTAGGTCACCTCTTATTCCTTATTCAACAGGCGGCAACTCACTCTGGTGAGAATCCCTGGGAACTCGATCACTGTGGAAAATTCTTGAGAAAGAACTATCACCTTATTGGTACAAGATACTGCAAGGGAAAGAAATGCTACAAATATAAAGAATACAGGAAAGACTTTGGCCATTTCTTAACTCTTAGGAGCCATATGAATGCTCACACTGAAGAGAAAATTTCGGGATGTAATGATTGTGTCAGAGCTTTCGATCCAGAGTCCTCCCTTGGGGAACACTTAGGAACTGTCACAGGAGAGAAATCTTATGAGTGTAATCAGTGTCTTATGTCCTGCAGCTTACACTCTTCTTTTGCAGCACATGTGCAAAAACCTGCTGGGGAGAAGCTTTGTGAATGCCGTGACGATGGGAAAAGATCTTCCCTTAGTGTGCACAAAAACCCGTGTACTCTGGAGGACAGCTCAACCTGTAATGAACATGGGGAGGTTGTCACTGGCCCCTTGTCCCCTCAGAAATGTGTGAGACCTCACACTGGAGAGAAACCTTATGAATGTAGTGACTGTGGGAAAATATTCATTTTTCACTCTTCCCTTAAGAAACATGTGAGGTCACACACTGGAGAAAAACCTTATGAGTGTAATCACTGTGGGAAATTCTTCAGCCAGAGCTCTCATCTTAATGTGCACAAAAGAACTCACACTGGAGAGAAGCCGTATGACTGTAAGGAGTGTGGCAAGGCCTTCACTGTTCCTTCCTCTCTTCAGAAACATATGAGAACCCACACTGGGGAGAAACCCTATGAGTGCAGTGACTGTGGGAAAGCCTTTATGGATCAGTCATCCCTGAAGAAACATCGACGCTCTCACACTGGAGAGAAACCTTATGAGTGTAATCAATGCGGAAAATCCTTCAGCACAGGCTCTTACCTTATTGTGCACAAGCGAACGCACACTGGAGAGAAAACCTATGAATGTAAAGAATGCGGGAAGGCCTTTAGGAATTCCTCTTGCCTGCGGGTACACGTGAGAACTCACACAGGAGAAAAGCCCTATAAATGCATTCATTGTGGAAAAGCATTCAGCACCAGCACTAACCTTATAATGCACGAGCGAATACATACCGGGCAAAAGCTTGCTGAATGAAAGGACTGTGGGCTAGCCGTAAGTGGTCCCTCACAGCTCCCTCCGCATTGTAGAACTCACACTGGAAAGAAACCTTATTGTGACCAATGTTGAAAGCCTTTAGGCACAGCTCTTGACTTACATTATACTGGGACCAACCTTATAAGTGTTACAGTTCTGTGACTGTCTTTATCAGTGAGTATTTCATCCTTAAAGTTCAACAACTCATTAATTGATGAGTATTAAATGTAATATAGCACTCTAAATTTTCCTTGATTTGCATCACAAAAGTTTTGATAATGTTTTCATTGTAACTTAGTACTAAATATTATCCAATTTTCATCAAGGTGTCTCGGACCTATAGGTTATTTAGAAATGTGGGGAGCCCTGGCCAGTTTGGCTCAGTAGTTAGAGCATTGCCTGCAGACCAGAGAGTCCCGGGTTCGGTTCCTGATAAGGGCACATACCTTGGTTGCAGTTTGTCCCTGGCCCCGGTTGGGGTCAGGGTCATGTGGGTGACAACCAGTCAGTATGTCTCTCTCACGTTGATGTTTCTCTCTCTCTTCCTCCCTCTCTCCCTCCTGCTCTATCTGATAAATGCAAAAATGTCCTCAGATGAGGATTTAAAAAAAAGGAAATGTGGGGGTTTTTTGGTTTGTTTTTAGTTGTTTATTTTTTTATCCTCACCCGAGGATATTTTTCCATTGATTTTTAGATAGAGTGGAAGGGAGAGAGGGAGAGAGACACATCGATATGAGAGAGATACGTGTATTGGTTGCCTCCTGCATGACGGACTGAGGACGGGGATTGAACCTGCAACCCAACCATGTGTTCTTGACTGGGAATCAAACCCGCAACCCTTCAGTCTGTGGGCTGATGCTGTAACCGCTGAGCCAAACCTGCCAAGGTAGAAATGTGTTCTTTAATGTGCAGACTCTGCATATTTTAGTTATCTTTTAATTATAGATTTCTAATTTAATTGCATTGTGCATTGAATATATGGTCTTCATGATATAGATTCTAAATGACACAGATTCAGACAGAAAATTGTTGATTTGCTTTGTGGCCTAATATGTCAAATACAATAATTTGCTGTCCCAAAATCCATTGCTCTTTTCCTTCCTTAAAGTAGCAGATCTTCCATTATGTTCAGGTTGGTAATGTGGACCGTTTTTTAAGGACTCATCTCCTAGCATTCCTTGCAGCTATGAGTTCCCATGAGCCCACAGTCCCGGCCAATGAGAAAGAGTTGAGAGATCAGTGCTTGTGGTTTTAAAGAAACCCATGGAAATGAAAGCATCCTGTCTAACATTTTCTCTTTAACATTTCCCTTTATCTTATTTCTTCTTGTTTCTTAGAAAATAAACCAAAAGGATGACAGTCAGAGGCCACTGATTATACAACAGGGACATACAATATCACTTGGCTGTACCACCCCTGGGTTGCTTATTTCTGGACTTCATGTAACATGAAAAAAACTCTAAATGGGTTTAAACCACTCTTGTGGGAAGATTCTGTTACAATGGATTTTAGTCTCAAATGATAGATCTCTTATGTTGCCAGGTTTTATGAATCCTTCAAGTACGGTTGAAAACCATGTATATTCTGTAATTGTCGAGTATAATAGATTTATCTGATGGATAAATCTTACTCTATTAAATCTGTATTATTACAAACCTTATCTCCTGATCAACCAGTGGTCATTGGTGCCAATTATGCCCATAGGAGTCCTCAGTATGAGGTACAGTAAAGAAGGAAACTTTATTCAATGCAAAACAGCTCAACTGTGAAGCAGCACAGCTGTGAAGAGGCCCTGGAGTGAGGCAGCTGTGGGGCAAGGTCCCTCTCTGGCTAAGCAGCTCTGTTCTGTTCTGCCTCGCTCAGCTCCAGTGAGACATTTTTCACATTTCAGCTCCAGCCAGGGAAACACAGTATTGTCTTCGGTGGAATAGAAAAGTGAGCTCTGAGAGGCAGAGGGGAGCTGACATATAAACAGAAGTCTCTGCCTCTGGTCCCTGACTGAGCTGTCCTCATGCAAATGAGGACTCCAAATCCTTGCATATAGATTGGTCCAAAAAGCGCTGCCCTGATTGGTCACAATGGAGCTACTCTAATTGGTTAGTGAAGATGTTTATGGGGATATGGCTGCACAGCTCCAATTGGACAGGGAAGCCTCAGTCCTGTTGGTTGAAACAGGATTCCAGGAACTCATCTATAAAGACTGGCTCAGATAGCAGAAACAGTGCAAGAAGGCAGTCCAGTGCAGAGCAGGCAGCTTAGGGTTCTCTTGAAAATGTGGTTTGCACGATAGGGCACTATTTAGAAATCACTGCTAGGCTCTGGGTGTTTTTTTAATTCTCACATTGAGGATACATTTTTGTTTTGTTTTTTGTTTTTGTTTTGCTTTGTTTTGTTTCTTTATCGATTTTTTTACAGAGAGAGAGGAAGGGAGAGGGAGAGAGAGACAGAAACATTGATGAGAGAGAACATCAATCAGCCACCTCCTGCATGTTCCCCACTGGGGACGGGGCCCACAACCCCAGCATGTGCCCCACCCTATCAGGAATCAACCCGGGAATCAAACTGGTGACCTCCTGATGCATGGATCGACTCTCAACCACTGAGCTACCCCGGCCGGGCTGTTTTTTGTTTTTTAATCTTCACCTGAGAATATTTTTTCCAATGATTTTTAGAGAGAGAGGAAAAGGGGAGAGAGAGAAAGAGAAGCAGCAGTGTGAGAGAGGAACATTGATCTATTGCTTCCTGTATGTGCCCCAACTGGGCATCAAACCCACAACCTCAGTATGTGCCCTGACCAGGAATTGAGTCTTGATGTAGGAGATGATGTTCTAACCAACTGAGCCACCTGACCAGAGCGACTCAGTTTTTGTTTTTTGGTGTTTTTTTTTTAAATTAATCTCAGTTAAGCCACCAGGAGTCCTTCTTACTAGGTATGTTCTTTCTCAGGGTCCACACAACTTACCCTCAAATAGTTCACCATAAAATGTATATCTTTATCTAGAGGGAGAGTCAACATGAAAAATGCTGAAATGGATCAGTCTACTTCAGTGCTGGGCCACCTGTGGGATAGGCACAGCATTGGCAAGGAAGCATCGGCGCCTGTGGGTTGGCTGTGGCAGCAGACTGGAAAGTGCATGGTAAATAAGAAGTGGAGGCTCCTGGGTTCACTGGTGTCTGGCTGTCCTCTCTTTTGGATAATAGTGGAAATAGCCGCATCGAAGTTAATAGAGTTCCAACAGACATGCATGAATGTGGGGGGCCTTTTGTCAGTGCGGGGCCCCAGCCAGTAACAGGCTAACAACTGTTTTCTCTCTCTCTCTCTGGCATTGTAATGTAATTTAGAACATATAAATTTTTTTTCTTGTTGGCTTCAAAGTTAGGAGTTTCTTCCTGAGGGGTGTGTTGTTATAAGAACCCTTGACCCTCAGAGTCAGAGAGTAACAAAAATGAAATTAATGAGAAAGGTCTTGAAAGGTGTAAGTCAGTAGTTCATGGTGTGGGGGCATGCCAAATAGCAATCTCAGATGATGAATATAGAAAAATTGGGTTTATTTAAAGAAAAGGGGCTGGGGGATGGTAGAAAGGGAAGGGATACACATCAACAAGCCATGGGGTATTGGGTCGATGCTGGCAGCCGCTAGGAGCTGGAGTTTTGTCCTTACATGCAGCCACTGGCAGGAAGCTTTTGTCAGTCAGTAGGTTTGGGGGTGGGTGTGGGCAGGGTGTTGGGTCTACAGGAATTCAGATGTGCAGTTAGGTATTTCTTTGGTTCGTGGTGTCCAGTTGCATTTCTTGTCTCGCCAGTTCTCCTGTGACAGGAAGTTTGGTCTTTGTACTCCTGGGGCGGGGAGGTTTGCAAAATGGCTATTAGGATTATATTGCCTGTGTGAGTCCTAACAGGTTCCCATAGAAAGAGACATTGCAATGACAATTTCATTAATGACGTTGCTACTGTAAAATCAAGCACTTTGGCAGATAAAAATATTCCTTGGTATTTCTTGGGTACATGGTATCACTGCTGACCTCAAGGAGAACAATTGTGATGGAGGTAGAAGGATGCCAAGTGAGCTGTAGAGAGTGAGAAGCATGGACATGTAAATGGCAAATACAGACCTGTTTAAAAAATAAATAAAAAATCCCACTAAGTACATTTGAAAAACTAATTGACTGTATTGAGTGATACATAAACCAGCCAGCACCTCATCCAGCAACCAGAAGACATGATGCATAAAAAAAACAAAATACTCCATCAAAAATTTATTAAACTTAATAAATAAATTTGGCAAAGTAGCAGGATACAAAATTAACGTCAAGAAATCGATGGCATTCTTATACACCAGTGATGAACTCACAGAAAGAGAAACTAAGAAAACAATCTCATTTACCATTACGGCAAAAAAATTAAGATACTTAGTAATAAACTTAACCAAAGAAATAAAGGACCTATTTTGCAGAAAACTACAGGTCATTGAAAAAAGAAATAGAGGAAGATATAAAAAAGTGGAAGCACATACCTTGTTCATGGATTGGAAGAATTAACATCATTAAAATGTCCATACACCCAAAGCAATCTATACATTCAATGCAATCCCCATCAAAATACCAACGACATACTTCACAGAACTAGAACAAATACTTCAAAAGTTCATATGGAGCCCTGGCCAGTTTGGCTCAGTGGTTAGAGCGTTGGCCTGCGGTCCGGAGAGACCGGGGTTCGGTTCCCGCTAAGGGCACGTACTTCGGTTGCAGTTTGTCCCCAGCCCTGGTTGGTCGTGCGGGTGGCAGCCACTCGATGTGTCCCTTCACGTCGATGTTTCTCTCTCTCTCCCTTCCTCTCTCTCCCTCCCACTCTATCTGTACAAAAAATGGAAAAATATCCTCGCATGAGGATTAAAAAAAAAAAAGTTTATATGGAACCAAAAAAGACCTCGAATAGCCACAGCAATCTTGAAAAAGAAGAACAAAGTAGGAGGGATCACATTACCAAATTTCAGGTTATA